TTGGACTTCGAGAGGCATACAAAAGATGAATGATCTAGAAACCTGGTTTAAATGTCCTACACTGCTGTACAGCAATTCAGGTACTACCACTAACAACCCAGAACCTGCTACTGACCAAGTCGAGTTCAGAAGAGCTGCGGTCAATTTGAGTAGTACAATAAATACCCCGTCACCTATCTTGTATTACTACTCGGAATGGATGAAATTGGTTAGGGCTGTAGCGTGGCTCAGAAGGTTCATAGACCTCTGGATAGTACTTCGCTCACCGAGAATTGAAGGCTCTGTTACGACAGGTTACCTAAAGGTCAAGGAGCTTGAGACAGCCAGGTGGAAAGTTCGAATGATGGTTCAAAAGAAGGTATACGGAGAATTACTTTACGAATCCAACGTTAGTCGTATAGTAGAGAGTAGTAAAGGTCTGAGAGGTTTATCACCGGTAATGATTGTTGAGTTACTCTGCGTCGGAGGTCGCCTAACGTACTCCGAACTCGCGAGTGCATCGAAACATCCCGTAATTTTACCTAGTCGACATCGGGTGACCCAATCGATAATCAGACACTATCACAAAGAAGAAGGACATATGGGAACTTCGCATGTGCTAGCTACGGTTCGCAAGTACTATTGGATAGTTAAAGGCACCAGCATGGTTAAGAGAGTAATAGGAAGGCGTGAAACTTGCCGAAGGTTTATTCTAAGTCCAGGGAATCAGCAGATGGCGCCACTTCCAGTTTACAGAGTGCAAGGAGGTTGGTATAGTTTCTCGACGACAGGAGTAGACTACTTTGGACCCCTTATGGTCAAGAGGGGTAGGTCACTAGAAAAAAAATATGGATGTGTGTTTACCTGCCTACAGACACGAGCAGTACATATTGAGACGACACAGCCTGAATACCGATTCATTTATAATAGCCTTGATACGTTTTATCGGAAGAAGAGGGGGGCCAACAGATGTGTATAGTGACCATGGATCAAACTTCGTGGGGGCAGTCACTGAACTAAAAAGCTTCGTGCAACAGTGGAATCAGCAGAAAATAAGTGAGGAATTATCATCAAGACAAGTTCAGTGGCATTTCAACCCCCACTAGCCAGCCATAGAGGTGGAGTTTAGGAACGGATGATTAGATCCATACGGAGGCTGCTATTATTGATCACCAGAGAACAGGTGTTAACGGACGAAACCTTGGGCACCTATCTGGTTGAAATTGAGAGAATTTCAAACGACCGACTCCTAACCCCGGTTATCCAAGATGCTAATGATCGACTAGCTCTATCACGAAATAGCCTACTGTTATGAGGGAATTTGATGGAATAACTGAGGAAGGAAGCATCAGTGACAAGTTCCACAAACGTTGGAAGCAGGTAAATTATTTAGCCAATGTATTTTGGAAAAGGTGGCTAAAAGAATATTTGCCGTCTTTACAAACCCGTCAAAAATGGCTAAAAGAGCATCGCAATTTCCAGAAAGGAGACGTGGTAATTGTCGCCTCGGATATTACTACTCGTGGAAAATGGCCCTTAGGAATAGTAGAGGGTTGTGAGACGGATAAGGATGGAAAGGTCAGAACGGTAATTGTCCGTACTAATAACGGGGCAGTGAGGAGAGACATACGAAAGGTGTGTCTCCTAGAACGGTCGAACTAGATAGGTCATATCCATGTCGGAGGGCGGGTTGGCGTACTGCTATAAGTCCTACTCGTTCCTCCGATGTGGATTAGGGGATGAGAGTGAACCCTAAGTGAAGTGTCAGAAAGGGCTTGTTTTGCATGAAGGGATTTTGCGGGGCGGTGTAGAACCTATTTTGAAGGTTTTGTTTTTGGAAAATCCCTCCATGTATATATATTTGTGTTATGATGTGATTGACTCTTCTGTTTGATATTTTGGTACTCTATTTGATTCCATTTTGAGATTTTATCATTGTATATTGTTATTATTTCTATATCTTGTACTTATATTGAAGTTTCTATGTTTCCTTCTGAACTGTATATATGTTGTTTAAATTTGATATTTAATATGGCTGCAGCCATATTTGGTTTTGATACTCTAGCAGTAACGGACTGGAAGCACTTATTCTTCCAGCAACGGAACCTGTTGTGGTAATTGGAAACTCGAAGGTGTGATATTGTTTTTGGTAATTGTCAGTATTTCCCTTCTTATCATTAAATAGAACCGTTTTCTCCCAGAACCATCGTTTTTGGTCCTGGACTGGGCTAGACGCGTATGAACCTACACTTTGCGAGTTAAAAGCGGACTGCAAGAGTAATTATAACTTAATACTTTCCTATCCTAAACTCTACATCATTCTTGCTGGTTAACACTCTTTGAACTCGACCTGATGGGCACGCAATTCTCCCTAAGGAATCATAATATATCATTATTAAGTGACCTCCTTCTACAGTCCTATCTGAGTACAGTGGTATCTTCGTTATCAAAAGGAACTGATCTACGGCTCCATGAATACCCTTTTCGAACCAATCGCTCCCCTCCATCTTTCAGGATATCCTGAAACGTAAAAATGTACGCCACCTGTAGATGCACAGCTCTCAACTGTAAACAAATACATACACAACCAGACCTATTATGAGAAGCTTCCACCTTCACTTACTATGATGGATCCAAAAGAGTTTACCTCAGCTGACAAGAACGAATAGTCACCATTCTCTACTCTGATCGATGGTAAGGACTCAACTAATTGCTGAAGAAAGTATGCATTTTTTCCTTGACGATGAACGCACTCTTTCAACTCTCTTCATAGCTACTTCACTTATTAACATCAAAAACCCTTCCCTGACTGTAGTTATTACCCATGATGCATCGACATGTCCTTCTAACTTACGAAAATGCTGTAAAATCAAATTCGCAGTTGCTTTCTTCGATGCTAATATGACAGGATGTTTTCTTAACTCATGTCAAGAACTATCTGGAGACCGACTAATCACACCATTATCCGTCGATCATCAAAGGATTTAACATTTATACTGGTAAATTCGTAACATTTCTCTTGATACCGGTATCAGAAAACACGTCCTCTTCATTCTCTTCCCCAAATTTTATGACTTAAACAAATAGATTCCAATGTAGGTAAGCCAAATTCTACTCCTGAACAAGGAGTCCGTCTCTCTGCAGGGTCGGACCAGTCCTGTTAGACTTTGTGACCACTATCAACCCTCTAGCATTCACCTACAAACTTCAGCTAACCAGTGCTTTCCTCCTTCGAAATCTGTTTATACAAACCTAACCCCTGCTTTCATAACCGTTTAGGTATAACATAAGTGTACTTAACAGTCTCAAAGGTTGACGTCGTGAGGCTCTATTTCATAGTATATCTCACCCAGAGAAAAACGATTATGTTGTATGCATCATCATAATAAGAATAAGCCCATATTTTCTAAAGGCTTTCAAAAATTTCATTTCTCATTACATCGTTGACTGTTGCCTTTCCGATCACGGTCATTTCATATTTTGTTGTGGCTACAATTATTATTGTCGTGGTCAGATTTTCCTTACTCTCAATTTTAATATTTAGATTCCACACAATGAAAATGTTTTTTTTCACAATTTGACCTAGACAGATTGTTACAATTATTGTTTTGTTTTATTCGACAAATTTCATTTCAGTTACCTAACATATTTTCATGTAGATAGTTAAGAAAAAAACTATTTATATGAAAGCATTACGAACCTACAAGTGACTAAGTAGTTTTGAACAGTGTTGTTGAATTGTAGTTGAAGGACGTGTAGTTTTAACAAGATTCAATATATTTATTTTTGAAAATACAAAACAAATATATACTGGCTAGTTGCTGTGGGATCATTTATTCTTTCTATTACAAACTTCAGAATGTCCTAATGTCTTTGTTGAATCGAATATAGAATTATATGTTTCGTATGTACATACCTTACCGTCTACTATAAGTTATTTTGTTTCCACTGTACCATATTACCTACTTGCATAGTAACCACTTCTGCTTAGACCAGATTTTCGTTGTAATTATTATCAGTTGTTACCTAAGCAGGCTGACATACCGTAGGAATATCACTCAACCATGTATGTTGGTTGTAGGAATATGAGTTGTATTCTGTAGATGATTATATTACTTCATTTTATTTGGTTTGTGGATGGAGAATCCTATGTTCTTGATTATTTTTCTTCTGCACGACTGAACCCTTTATGTCATAATTACCATAACTAAAACGTTTAATAATGTTTACAGATATTTTCAAGACATTTGTCGCTTAATCGGAAAGCTTTTTGTTTTGATCAGTTTATTTGTGACTTACTTTTAATCTTTGTATTGTATGATAAGTGTTATAAAATACTACTAACACGTAAAGTAGTTGGTTTACGGCAGTTTTATATTAGACTTCTGCTTTTCATGATTTCCCAACTAAATTATTTAAAATAATTCATCGAATTAATCTACTATTTTGATTACTTCTCTGTATATGCATTGTCAATGCAGTTAGTGTAATCACTCACTCATATTAGAATAGGGCTTAACTTCGGCTTCGTAACCGGGTTGCTAGAATATAACATTTTTAAAAGTTAGAAACTGTTGTCTTAAAATCTTTGTTTCGATATGTTTTGTCTACACAAAATACCATATTTATGGCCTTACTGTTATTCTAGTAACAAATGAATTTTTTTTAATCAGATGAAAAGCGAAACTTGGGAAAAATGTGATGATGTGTGGTGTAACAACCATATCTCAATTAAATATTATTTGTATATAATCGATAGACGACAAACTATCTACTTCAAAGCATCCAGCATTAAAGCTACTGACAAGAAATGTGAAAGAAAATAAGTATTGATGAATTTATATGAATATATTTCATTGGAGTACAAACTACAATGTGTTTAAAAACACTAGTTTAATTTCATCGATATGAGCTGAAAATTATTTTATTTTCGAGTGGTACAATTAAAGAAATTAAGGCATTTTAAATTGCGTAGAATAAAAATTGAATATGATCGTAAAATGACGTAACTGTGAACAATATTAGTTTGTATTTTCAAGTTTATATAAACACTGGTCACTTGCATCTTGCTGTGGCATTCCAATATTTTTCCAGTCACACAAACCATCTTGATCATCACTATTTCCACAAGCTACTGAATTGTAGTCGAATGATCTGAGTAATTGATCCTATTTGAAAGAAATTAAATAAAGTAACATTCATAATGTATCAAGCAAAAAATCCTCACATGATCTCAATAGTTGTGTTGAAGTTTGACTCTATGTACTTTGAAACAGAAATTTATAATTTCAATCATGTTATGATGAGCAACCAGCCTGAGATTCTAAAATCATTAAACCTGTGATGAGACTGAATTTTTGACAAAAGCATGTCAAAGTATAAATTTTAAGTATAATTTCTCAATTATCCAAATTGATAACCCTATTCGGCGTTAGACAGGTATTCTAACTGAAATAACCAATTATTTAAACACATTCTTTCCACATTACATGATGCGAATGCATTCTCTACATTCAATGTATAAAATTATCATGGAATGACAAGTGTGAACAGGTTTATTTATCACTAGTCTGATTTGGACTGACTATAACTACTGACAATTACCTATAACACTTGCTATTTATATTCCACATCATTTACAATTTAAAACACAAATTTATAGCACAACTTCAATAACGTTTGCATTCAGCATTTTGTAACGAAAAAACTTACAGATTGTGATTTCTTCTCCCAGAGTAGATGAAGCGAACCCTTTGGTGTAAGATCTTTAAATTGTCTTTGAGTAAATTTAATTATTTCTTCATTGATTTTCTCAGTATTAGCATATCTCATAGTTGATATGTAAGTGTTGTTTATTTTGTCGCCAGCAACCTTTCGATAACATGCTCGTACAAAATCCAGAACATTAGAAATAGGATTAGGTGCATACATATCCTCTAACTTTTTCAAAGGAAGAACTAAATTCGCACCATTGACATTACTTTCAGTTTTGTTATCAATTAGACTCACCTAAAATAGTCAGAAAAGTCATGATCGTTCAAAAAAAAATTATAACTATCATTTCATATTTATCTATAAATAGTCTCATTAAAAAATGACATATATAAATCTCTATTATTCACAATATAACAAAAAACTATCAAAACAGTAACTTACGAGGGATAATTTTTTACTGGCCGCTTTAAACGCCATATACAGATGCGTATAATACGATGCATATGGTAAGGGTAAAAAGTTAACTTTCTTTTCCATTTCATATGATTTATTAGTTAGAAATTCAACAGCTTTATATGAAATGATCGATTGTAATGGGAAAATGAATAGTCGATCTTGTTGCTCGCAAGCGATAAACAAAACATTCTGTAAACAATTGAATGCAATTAACCAATAGAGAATTTTCATTTTTCTACAAAGTTGATAAGGCTTTTCGTTTTCTGATTTAATCTTAATCAAGTAAAAATAAATAATTCTGGAGTTTCAAGATGACAATTGGCTTTTTATAGTGAATTGAAGTATGAAGTTTAGACAAAAAGTACAATCTAGTAAATAGGTTAACCAATACTAATCCTTGGCACATTCATATTCCTGACAATTTATTTTCATACATTTTCTCAGTAATCAAGTTCACCTAATAACCTAATTTGTTTATAAGTTAGTTTTTGTCAAAAGTTTCGTTTCAATGATCAAGTGACATTATTATAATAAGAAAAAAATGCAAGATTGTAATGAAATCGTACATTCTGAAAAAACAAACAAACAAACATTTCGATGATTTTATTTTTAATCCAAAATTTAGTTTAGTAGTGTCGTTATCATCATCATCATCATGATAATGGACAACAACAACAACAACAACAACAACACTAACTCACTGATTATTCATGATTTAATCTTTAAGCAGAATCTACGTTTTCATATTGTGTCAAATAAATAGTGTTAATTCATTTTGTTTATTTCTATCATTTTTGTACTATTACCGAATGACCTCGACTGATTTTGAATTGAAACGAATCTATTTCACTTATTTCAGCAATGATAATCTATCAAAGATAACTGAAATAATAAGAATAAGCCCATATTTTCTAAAGGCTTTCAAAAATTTCATTTCTCATTACATCGTTGACTGTTGCCTTTCCGATCACGGTCATTTCATATTTTGTTGTGGCTACAATTATTATTGTCGTGGTCAGATTTTCCTTACTCTCAATTTTAATATTTAGATTCCACACAATGAAAATGTTTTTTTTCACAATTTGACCTAGACAGATTGTTACAATTATTGTTTTGTTTTATTCGACAAATTTCATTTCAGTTACCTAACATATTTTCATGTAGATAGTTAAGAAAAAAACTATTTATATGAAAGCATTACGAACCTACAAGTGACTAAGTAGTTTTGAACAGTGTTGTTGAATTGAAGGACGTGTAGTTTTTAATGAGATCCAGGTTGTTTATCATTGGAAACACTGATCAAACATATTTTGGTAAGAGACGTTTGTTTACTCATCTTCAAATGGTGTGAGAGCATCAAACCATCTCATATTTATATTTATCAAACTACTAACCACTTTATTTGAGTTATTTTGTTCAATATTATCATTTATCGATGTAGAAATTGTATAGACTCTGAATTTATATATTTTGTTTAAAACCAAGTTAGCTGACGAACTGTTGTTATTTGAATAAACACAGTTCATTTCTCTGTTTACAAGTATGTATTATTAATTTTTATAACACCTTTATAATGACCTAACTTTTAAAATATATTTATTCACCAATTCTTATTTTAATGTCTTCCCTTTATTTTCTATATTTTTGGAAATCCAATCTATCGACTTAGGTATCTGAAACCTATTAGTTAAAATGCAACGTATAATCATGATTTTGAACATTTTTAAGCTGATGTGAATGATAACTAATTTAGTTTGATTCACTAAACCTGCTATTCCTGCTGTATTGAAATCTACCATTTAAATGTGCTTTATGAGACTTATCAGTTCTCAAACAAACCATTCAAACAGTTAACATTCATTTTAGTTATTTCAGATACGATTAGTTATCATGTTGTTAAATCTTATTTTAAAGTTCAAAGTTACAGCTTTCCATGTTGATTTATTCACCAGAAAATCCCGATAAATATTACTCACAAGAATTCCGAAAACTACATTCCTCAAACAATCAATCAAAGTTTAATAGTGCCTGTAAATATTTTAAATATATCAACTCAAAAGATAAATCTCAACAAGTCTTGCTTGATTATTATTATTGTATTTTTAGTACATACATTGATCTGAGTCTCTGTGACATCCAGTCAACAAAGTAGTCACTAATTTCTTATTGGTTGTAGGTATATCCTTTATCTCCTAATTTCAACGACATCGTTCTTGTTGATTAAAGTTGATTACATCCGATCTAAAAAGCTTAGATTTACCTAATATTGTCAGATAAGTGGTATAGTGGGTTGCTGAAAAATAGGCCTGTAGCTTTTTTAACTAATTCTAAATGTGCTTTAAAAAGAGCATGAACTAGATACTTTGTAGATGCTAGTACGCCTACAACGATCAATGAATCGCACTAAAATACAATTCAAAAATTCTTTAATGGAAATATATTTATAGAGAAATAGGATTTAAGAATTAATACCAGGTGTTCATTTACATCCTTCTTGTTGTTTGTGTAGGTGCATTCGGCCGATTCTCAAAATACATTCATTGATCTAATCAATAAAAAAAGGATTCAGCAATAGAATGTAATTCTAAAAAAGAGTTATAACGCTATATTGAAGTTGTACTTAGCATAAAGGCTAATAGGAAACCATATGACAAGAATATATATATATATATATATATATATATACAAACAAATTATTTGATGGTGTTAACACAGAATTAATTTCCCCAGTAATAATAAACTATGAGTAATAAGTTTACATCCTAATAATTTTGATGCTAAACATCATTGAGGAAGAACATCATGCATAGTCAATCAGTCGAGGTCATTCGGTAATAGTACAAAAATGATAGAAATAAACAAAATGAATTAACACTATTTATTTGACACAATATGAAAACGTAGATTCTGCTTAAAGATTAAATCATGAATAATCAGTGAGTTAGTGTTGTTGTTGTTGTTGTTGTTGTTGTCCATTATCATGATGATGATGATGATGATAACGACACTACTAAACTAAATTTTGGATTAAAAATAAAATCATCGAAATGTTTGTTTGTTTGTTTTTTCAGAATGTACGATTTCATTACAATCTTGCATTTTTTTCTTATTATAATAATGTCACTTGATCATTGAAACGAAACTTTTGACAAAAACTAACTTATAAACAAATTAGGTTATTAGGTGAACTTGATTACTGAGAAAATGTATGAAAATAAATTGTCAGGAATATGAATGTGCCAAGGATTAGTATTGGTTAACCTATTTACTAGATTGTACTTTTTGTCTAAACCTAAAGCTTAAAGTTCAGTAGTCTATTGTGCACAGTCATCCTTCCTTCTTTTAACGATCGTCTTAGGAAGCAATCAGTTTCATAAGTGAAATGGGAACTGTTTGCTTTCGTATTGATGATTATGAATCACGCTTAATGATCAGGTTTTTGTTGTGTGATAATACGTATGGAGGTAGTTATTTGGTATACTTTTTTTGTTTTACCAAGTTAGTTAGTATCTAACTATTGATAACTTCTATGTTATCATATTGATAAAGTTATGTCTAATATTGAGTGCGTAAAAACAAATTATACTCAATGTGGATAAATAATCTTTCAAGACAAATTAGTACTATGAAAGAGGTGAGTATTGTTTTAGAATATTTGTTGTTATACCAATATTGTTATTAGAAAAGTACTCCGTTGACGATTATTGTTTTACATACAAATGTACCGAATTATCTGAATGTGGATACCGAGATCAACTAAAATTTAGAATTGTCTTTTTCCATTCGGTTTGAATGGATAACATCTTTCACTGATCGTGAACATGTTAAAAATTCTGAGGTACGAAATTAGACTACTGATCAATATAAAGTAGTTAAACAAATTCCATGAAGAAAACAGGCTAACGAATCAGTCTTTGAATAAACCTACTGAAATGTTGTCTGTACAAATTCAGCAGTACTTTACTCCGAACAGTAAAACTAGAATACAGTAATATAATTTTCATATTTATGGAATAAAGATAGTATCAATGATGAAGAATATTCCTGACTGAGATATCAATGAATTTCGAATTTCTAAACTAAACAGGTTATTGATTCATTACTGAATAGAATAGAACCTATTGGGAAAAATATCCAAATATATTCTGATATTCACCAGTCTTTTAGCTGATTTTAGTCAGCGGTAAAGAGTGACCTCAAAATACATTCAATTTTTGCAAATCATCCTACTCAGGAATATTTATTGTTTAGTGTTAATATCTACAGCGACTATATATCGTTTATAAACGTCAGTTTGTGGTAAGCGTTTATAATATGATGTCGATCACAATGATAAAGAAAGCGCAGTGATCAAACCATTAAGTGTTTATAAACCATCATTAACAATACATCAGTATTACATTTGACTACTGAGTGGTAAGTGGTATTTTTATACTCTCAACTCATTCATTACCTTTGAACTATGAGTCGTCAAATTTCAGTTTCATGTATCCAATTTTGATGTATAGGATAAATCAAGTTAAACGACTGAATTTCTAGATCAGTCGAGATAACAAAACAAAATAAACGTTACTTATAAAATTATCGAATTCAACATACAAAGAAAAATTCAAACATCCAAAGTAGTTTTACGCGACGAAATAAATGACTGTTTTGTCTAAGTTTTGATAATCATTTTTCATCATCCTTTCGATCGTATTACAATAATAATAATGTTCGACTGTATAAAACACCAATGAAAATGGGACAGTATCCTTATCATTTAAAATATTATATTTTAGACATCAAAAGACCGTAATTAGAATCCACATTTTAAATGTCAATTTCTATGTATTATTTTTAAAAGTTAAGTTTACTTATTAAGAGAAAAACATAACCGCACTTCGAAGCCTGTATGATTGCATTTTTAGTTATGATGAATTGTAACCCGTCCAATAATTAGATCAACTTCTCATCGTGATAACTATGAATGTATACTCAAACAGATTGATCTTAAAAGTATAAATGTTTTCGAAAGTAAAAAACTCTATTAGTACTTATAACGTAACACTGACAGTCAATCTACTGTAGTGTGTGATCTGCTAAAAAATCTCACATGTCTACATGGTTTAAAGTCCATTTGTTTACCAGTAATCAGCTCGATGTTCAATTATTGATGATCATAAATAGTACGTAGTATAACAACGATTGAGTTGAAATTTGTAAGTCGGTTTTGTGTTTTAAATATTACAGTTGACCAAAAATTTGATTTTTTTTAACTATTCTTGATACTAACCTCATTAATTTTGTTGAAAATAACTTTTAAATCTTTTAGACAGAATTTATGTCAGACGATTAAAAACTGGGTGATACTAGTCAATTTCACTGACTTCATAACACTTTGCTTCTACAAACCCAAAAATAATTTAATTTTCTAATAGTGATCTAACAATGATTCATTCATGATTTCAAGGTAAATCACGATCTCCATAATACTTTAACGCAAAATTTAATTTTAGTTTTAACCTTTGAAATGAGCATAGAAACTTTAAAGCACAAAGTTAGAATCTGATGTACCAAATATTCAGCTAAAAGTGAGTTACAGCATAGCGCAATTGGTTGTCATTACTCCATCACTGGTGCCACTTTTGCCTTGATTGAAATACGGCTTTAGGAATCATTCTGAATATACATACACCAAATGATGTTTACATTAAGAATAGATGAATGTTATTAATTACAAAGCAGAATTAAATGACTTCTAAACGAATTAACCCGGAAAGATACTGGATCAATCGACTGTGTATTTTGCTGAGTTAAGAAGTTTAGGCCATTCGAAACCCACCATAATTCGGTCATTCTACCACAAATATCCCATACTTCTTATGTTTCATTGAAAATAATATTATTGGATAGTCGATATATCGTCATTTATACCGATTCAATTAGACCATTGTTTACCTGTCTGTGAATTAGAATGTACTGAGAGAATAAAAAAGCTCACACATGTTTCCATTTCGCTGAATACTCTTTCCCAACCTTTAATTAATGCTTGCAACTACATGCTTATGCTCTAATTGAATTTTTCAACTGTTATACAACGACTGGTTACTTTAATCAAGTGTTCAGATAAAGCTATCTGAAATGAACTATGACTTTTCACATTTCATGAAATCAACAATCATTTAACTATTCTGAGCGTTAAAATAAAGAACTGATTCATTCATAACAAAATTTCTTGAAATAATATAAGATGACTGATCATTTCGATATTTTCGTTATAATCAGTTAGTTCAATTTTTTGGGAACAATAAAAGACATATTTAACCTAATCAAATAATTATCCTCTAAGTTTCAAAACCACAGACTAAAAGAAGTTATACTTCGTCCAGCTTTTTAGCTTGTCGAAACAGAACATCAAAATACCAGTTGTCTAACAAAAAAGACGTTTTGATAGATGTTCTCTTGCCAAACGGCGATTTTTACTATGTCATTTATATTAACCTTTATCATGATGTAAAAATCAACAATCGTAATTTATCTTATCATATTTCATATTTCTCATAAAAACCATCAACTTAGAATGCTTACTAACGACTCGGATAAAAATTAAATCTTTCCTGTAGATAAACTTCATCGCCGATTTGATAGTCGTATGTAGAAATAAAGATAATACCATGTCAAAATGGTTTACATTTTATCCAACCTATGTTTATTTCTAGTAAATCTGTCTGCAATGTAACTCTTTCCACTAATTAAAAAATATGCTTAGTGTGAAAAAATAAAATGTAAAAGACATTAACTTGATCAATTTTCAACAATATTTATTTCTGTCCGACGAATACAAAATTGAGTAGTTTAAAAAAAAATCAGATTAAAAATAGTGTTGACAAAATATAGTTTGACAAAGAGGGTCAGCAAAAGATTCACCTAAATACGTTCTTCAATGTGAAGAACAAGCGAAAAGATCCGGCGATTCCAGGAAAAATGTTTTAAAAATTTAACATTTGTAAGAGTTTAACGATAATGGGAAAAGGCACCAAGAACGGAAATTGTCGATAAGTGATGAAATGTACGAATGTGAAATTAATTTATATACTTGATAAGATGTAGACACAAAATCTAAAGTTCATGAATGCAAAATGTTACTGTTGTGTTGGAGTTTAACATAGTCAAGATATATATATATATATATGTATATTCTTATCTTCATACTCCTAAATATTGAGTTTCATCATTTTATGATTGTTCCCTGATGAGAAACAGCTTTGACATTATACATATTAGAATGATGAACGATAATGTGCTGATTAACTTTTTGATTTCGTATTGATCACCCTATATAGACATTGCTCTTTAGCTTTTTCCGGTTCCAAACCCATAAGTGTCCAATCACATGGATTGGAAGATGATCTATTACCGCCACATGCAACTTGTTCATAATTCAATTCTTTCATAAATTGCCTCTGAAACAAAATAAATCAATCAATAATTCATAAGTGGTACGTTAAAGTTGGTAGACTCGTGTTTGCCATTTTGACAATGATCACCTTTAATAAATTCACAATGATAAGCATATTTAGCAAAACACACACTAGTTTGCTGTTACTAATATTAATCATGATGTTATCCGATATTATTGAAGAAATTATATTTTTTGTAATCACAAACTAAATCCAACTAATTATTTGACCAAAATTCTCGTAAGATTACACTATCTATATTCCATGGAGTGACCAATTATTTTCTCAAACCAACTAAATATACGTCTAAATTATACTAAAATCTTCTACGAATAACACTCCAAACAAGAATATCTGATATGTTTACATAAGGATTTTTTTATTTATTATAATTTGTTTATCATAAGAACTATTTTTTCTATTATAATCAATAGATTTTTCAAGTTTGTGCATTATTCTATCAGTTTAATAAAATAGTTTCAGTCTGGCCTAACTGATTTAAGTAACAATTGCTTACCATTTGTGTATTTTTCTCCCAAACAAAATGATATGACCCATGAGTTGTTGCTCTTAAAAACTGTTCTGTTGAGTATGTAATCAATGCTCGATTAATTTCATTGGTTGCTGCAACTCTAAGCGTCGATATAAATGCTGAGCCAGACGATATTGATCGAGAATGCGGTTTAGCCCATTCGTAACATTTAGTGACAAAGTCAAGAACTGATGTTATCAAACCTGGTGCATACATATCATTCAGGTTAGATAATGGTAAAACTAAATTAGCACCATTCAATCTACTTTTCAAACTGTTTGCTTTTAGAGTTATCTAAGAAGGAAAAAAAATAACAATCGTGGGAATAGATGTAGATTATAACTTCATAATAGCCTCATATAAATAAACCAAAATAAATAGATAATCATCAATAATCATCAGAAACACTGAAATTTTTGAAATAATTACTTGTGCAAAACATTAGAAAAGTTTGTTATGCACAGAGTTAAACACCTGAGCACATACACACTTTAAAGACGTATAAAACATTAAGAGCACTTACACAAGATATCAGCTGATCAGCAGATTTCCAAGCAAAATAAATGTGTGTATAGTACATTGAATAAGGAATGTTTAAGTCGTGTACTTTTGATTCTTTTTCTTCAGTGAAATTAGTGAAATGACTAACTATTCGATACAATGGAACGCTGTTTATTGTTTTTAGAACATAATCTTTGCCGCACAGAATACTTAAGTTCAATCCTTTGTCTTCTGGTCTTGACTGTATGGAATTAGATAATGCAGGTGGGTCATATAGAGGAGCACCCAAAATGGTGCATAAGATCAGTGCATAAATGGAAATGTATACACTCATCATCTATAAATAAAATAAAATCAAGGAATGAGATGCAAATTATGAAAACTTACCATTTTGAAAACTTCAACTATTCAATGTATGAGTTATAACTAAGTAAGATTTTGTTCACGTTTACATTCTGTTTTACAGTGTGCTTATTTATATTTTTTCCTGGACCTATGAAAGACAATATAATTTTTAGAAGTCATACGTTCAGTTTACTGACCAATCCCGGTTGGTTAATCACAACAATAATATCTCCTTTGAATGTTTTCTCGGTTTTTTTTTCATATTGTTTCTACTTTTTAACGAAACAGTATTGGTTAACATTTGTATCCCTTGAATAGAATTTTTATTATTATGAGCAGGGATAGTAAATCCAACGAGGTAGGGGTAGGTGTGTAAGTATAGATATTGAAAGTGTAGCTCATTTCATGTTCCCAAAATAAAACCTGCTAGTTAACCAATGATTTAAAAGTAACAAAAAAAGCGTAGCAAATTTAAATTTAAATCGACAAATTTAATTTATTAGTTTCATGTTTATTCTCCTTAGGTCAATTTTCCATGATACTACTAAAGTATTTTTTTATTTCTTTGATTGTAGCAACTGATCTATTTAAGAGTTATGAATTGTTTAAACATCGTATTAACTCCTAAATTGCACTTTTGTCAAGAACCTCAAATCATTATTTGATTTCAATTAGGAAGTGATGCTTTTGACTTCCTTACGAGTAAGCATAAATATAATGCCAGTGTTTGTGATAAAATTGAGTGCAAAAATAATATGTAGATAGAAGTGTTTAAATTGATAAGATTTTGATAAGAGGATAGTGAACAGTTAAAACTTGTATAAATTTTTGATGAAAATCGTTCATCACAGTTACGTTGATCGATGTGTTACACGATCGAAATACTCCTACCACATCATTAATGATATATTGTACATAAGAAAGATTATTAGAAAATAGACGAATCTGTTATATTATTTCCTATTTTCTATACCAACCTATTTAATTTAAGCCCTTCCAAAACTCTTGTTTAATTAATGTCTGCAAAAGGAGTCTTTTGATTACCTCACTCCTATTCACATCACAATCCATTGTGAACTAGGTGTTAATTTCAAAAGTCTTCTCATTCGCACACAGAATTCTCTCTCTCTCTCTCTACATAATATAATCTAGTGATCTATCCTTTCTGGTAAATCACCAAGCTTGTTTACATGTCTTCATGGAATTAAGGCTGATAAAAATGTCATACATCTATAAGCGATTGTGAAGCTTGTTAATAAATTTGTTGAAAAGAGATTCACTCGCTGAATTTTATGAAAATTTTTTAATGTTTTACATGTTCTACTTAGAAAATTTTTTTAAAGTTTTAATTAAGACAAAAATGTTTATCATTTGCTGATTGTAAAATATTTCTAAATAAAGTTAGAAAATAATTATTTGGTCAGTTCAATAAATAAACTAAATAAATAACAAATAAAAAAATTTGAAAAAAATAAAATAATCATTCAAAGTTTTTTCAGTGATTCGGCGAATGATATATGCACCGGTTACTAACCAATAATGCTATTTGATAATTGACACAAGATATCACAAACTAAATGAGAGAATGTGATTTCGTTACTTGAAACTCTTGGCTTGGCGAAAGACTTTAAGATCCTAGGTTTGAAGCAAAGTAGGAACGAAGTCTGAAACTCGAGTAAAGCATTTATCGAATGAATGTACCTTAGTCGTCAGTGGCTCTACAACCAATACTAACCTATAAATGAAAATCATCGTCAATCAAAAAAACGATTTAATAGATTTTATATTTGATACTAAAAATACTGAAAATTATCTCATCAAATGTCCGTTGGCAAGCATTGAAATCTATGTAAAACACTAAATCTTTATGAGAAACAGATATTCTTGTTTTAAAGCCTTTATTTTAATCATGATGTGTTGTTGAAATTCAACTCATCAGTTCACAGTAATCACGTTTATCAGTATCTCAATTCTTAGTTAAATCACACAAAAAAAACAAGAATGATATTTAAGAATTGAAGAATTACTTATCTATTCATAAACATTTACAAAACCACATAAACTGATGAATAAATGTGATCTTGATGAGATTCCGTGTTAATTTTAATAAAAAAATAGTTCATATTAATAAGTTTAAATTCCATTTAATACACCGAACCTTTTAGCGCTTAACCAGTAAATAATAAAACAATGACAGAAAAATTTTTTTAGATTAACTTTACCAAATTTATAGTTACACAATAATCATACGTAGTAGAAAATCGAAATGATATACAATTTAAATTCATTTTAAATCATTTTAATAATAACGATTGCATTTTGCAATTATGTCTAATTGAATTAGATATTCATTCAAATATACCAAGATTATATCAATACAAATAGGTTTGAATGACTATGCCAGTGATATTTTTATTTCAATTATTCAACGTTTTGACTAATAGATAATTTAAAATCCAATGATTTGTTAATTAAATTTCAGTAAGAAAACAATGAAAATGAACTTTTATTATCATTCCATGATGCATTGAAAACTTTTGCTGAATCAATGAAAAGTATAGAATATAATTTCTAGTTTAAACAAACTTTGTAAGTCTTATTTCAAGGGAAAAACAAAGTCCATACAAAGTTGTATGTGTGTGTGTGTGCGACGAAAAAAATGAGACGAGAACTTCAGACAATTAGTCTTCTTTTGCTTTTATTTCAATCCTTTACCGAATTTCAGTAGTTCGTAATTCATGTGTATTTCATCAATTTCATACAGCTCTTCAAGTTTATTGTCGGATAACATTAAAAAGTTTATTCAACAAAAAAATCTTATAATAATAATAATAAGTTGTTTTTATCAAGGTTATGAACATTTACATGCAACATTTTCAAAAAAGGAAACACACAAACACACACAAAAAAATAAAATAAAGCTGCATTTGAACTGATTTCGTTTAACAGTATTTTTTTTCGTTATATACGCCTGATTGTTATGATTATTATTAATTGCACTACTGTCCATTATCTGTGAAGTCTATAAAATATAGAAATAAATTGTCGAATGATTTTACTGGTCTACCACAAAAGTAACATAGTACACCTTTAGAAAAACAACAACTTCACTAGAGTTTATATTATTATTATAACTCTGTTATGATAATCTCTCAGTATTAGAGTTGATTTCCACTTCTATAGTACCGATTTCACTAATTTTAGAAAAATGGGGAAAAAACAAAAAAAAATCAGGAGATCATAATGTTTTTTGACCAAAAAAAAGAAAGAGACTAAGCTTACTGATCACTAAAATTAAGTGTTATTTATTTTTTAAGAATCGTATTTTTTTCTATGTATGGTAAAACTTAGTTCACTCAATATGCCATTGACACAAAATGCTTATGTATGTGTAGTGTAGGCGTAAACTTATGAAATTAATCATTGACTGGTAGGTACAATAATGTACGACTGTTCAATGTCGACAAGAAATTAAATGTTCATTATGTAATCTAAATGTCAACAATAAATTTTCTAACCTTTTTTTTAAGAATAAAACTACTAAGTGTGTTAAGAGCTCAAACTTTACAAAAGATGAAAAGGCGAACAGTTACATTTTACTGATTGGTATCCTATTTTCTTTTTAATGAATTTTAATAATATTACTAAATAGTATCGTTCTGTATGATCAAGGAATTCAAATTATATTTTCTGAACGTCTATTCTAGTTTTCTTGCTACAGTTATTCATGTTACAGAAAAAAATACAAATAGTAGTCCAATGGAAGCTCATTGATACAAAAACTCCAAATAGTTCATTGGGTCTAATTTCAATGCATAATCTTTCTTATGTGGAAGGGTTTTTCATCATCATCATCATCATCATCATCATCATCATCATCATCATCATCATCATCATCATCATCATCATCATCATCATCATCATCATCATCATCATCATCATCATCATCATCATCATCATCATCATCATCATCATCATCATCATCATCATCATCATCATCATCATCATCATCATCATCATCATCATCATCATCATCATCATCATCATCATCATCATCATCATCATCATCATCATCATCATCATCATCATCATCATCATCATCATCATCATCATCATCATCATCATCATCATCATCATATCATCATCATCATCATCATCATCATCATCATCATCATCATCATCATCATCATCATCATCATCATCATCATCATCATCATCATCATCATCATCATCATCATCATCATCATCATCATCATCATCATCATCATCATCATCATCATCATCATCATCATCATCATCATCATCATCATCATCATCATCATCATCATCATCATCATCATCATCATCATCATCATCATCATCATCATCATCATCATCATCATCATCATCATCATCATCATCATCATCATCATCATCATCATCATCATCATCATCATCATCATCATCATCATCATCATCATCATCATCATCATCATCATCATCATCATCATCATCATCATCATCATCATCATCATCATCATCATCATCATCATCATCATCATCATCATCATCATCATCATCATCATCATCATCATCATCATCATCATCATCATCATCATCATCATCTCATCATCATCATCATCATCATATCATCATCATCATCATCATCATCATCATCATCATCATCATCATCATCATCATCATCATCATCATCATCATCATCATCATCATCATCATCATCATCATCATCATCATCATCATCATCATCATCATCATCATCATCATCATCATCATCATCATCATCATCATCATCATCATCATCATCATCATCATCATCATCATCATCATCATCATCATCATCATCATCATCATCATCATCATCATCATCATCATCATCATCATCATCATCATCATCATCATCATCATCATCATCATCATCATCATCATCATCATCATCATCATCATCATCATCATCATCATCATCATCATCATCATCATCATCATCATCATCATCATCATCATCATCATCATCATCATCATCATCATCATCATCATCATCATCATCATCATCATCATCATCATCATCATCATCATCATCATCATCATCATCATCATCATCATCATCATCATCATCATGTTAATTTCTAATAGTTTCTCAATTATATGCAAGTAGACAGAAGCAGCACTGTATTCGGGGGTTCCAGTCACTTGTTAAGTACAGTGTGTCTAAATTACCTAAATTCTCTGTGCTGAAAAGTGAATCCAATGTTTCTATTGTAATACACTTAGAATGAATACACTTGTACAATTGCAAATATCTAACTGTAATCAAAAGCTCACTTTAAGTAACTAACATTATACATGGTAACCTGTAGTTTCAATTTCATGTTAATATTGCAAAAACAACAAGCACAAGTTTAGCAGACCAGTTGAAATTGTTGATATTCTTGAAACGATTATTACCATCAATCATTTCAATCAATATAATAAATTTCGATCAAAACATTTCTTCTTAAAAACAAATCTGTACCGAGAAAATGCTTTCTTTCATTCATGAATGATTAGTAACAAACAGTTATGCTTGTGAAGGAACAGTAATCTTCACATAACAATAACACAGTAATTAGTGTTGGAATAAAATCTTATGTAATGAATAAGGGTGGAAAAAATACACTGATCATCAACAAGTTGGATGAAATAATCGATTCTGCTGTGATTATAATTAGCATGCCTAGCATTATATTAAATGTAATGACAAATCCTATAAAATTTATCTAATAAAATGATGTAATGTGAACTGAACAGCATATTTTTAAGTAATATTAAGTTGATAAACTTTACCACGCAAAATAAACAGCAACCGTTGAAAAGATAGAATCGAAACCGAACATAAAAACTCATCTAACGCCTAGAGCACTTCATTCAAATCATATGAAACTTTTACAGGCTTCATGCATCCAACGCTTCTATTTTTACCGGTAATGTTTGTTTAGTAGAATCAGGTGATAGTTTACATCACATGTCAAAAAAAATTGTTTTTACCGACAGACAAATTCGTCATTCCTTTTTCATAGATCGTGTGTTCACAGAACAGCTGTAATAAACATGTGACTTTTGCTTCTTTGTAAGTCTGTGATTATTAAATGACCTTTCGAAATGCTGCTTTAAAGTGTTTCATAAACGTAGTTGTTCAACTACGTTTTAATCCATAACACTTTGAAATTAGCCTTTAAATTCAAATCATTAATAAATGTACAAGTATATTGTAAAAAACAGAAGAACTAGCAATATGTGGCTTTTTGTTACGAGATAACTTATAAGATCTTTTAAAATGACAATATCTAACTAATAAATACCAGCGCGATAGATTCTTTATTCTGCAGCTTTTCCTTTGACCTTGCAAGTCCAAAGTGCCTTCAGATTCCGTTTGGTGATTCCTTTAGAGTGTGAACTATTCATCTCCAGTGCTTTTACCAATTTATTCTTCATCTAGAAGCTGGTTATTGCTGACGTCGTGAGGACTGCCTTGCGTATAATAAAACCATTTACAAATACCCGTACTTTTTTGGTGGCTGTGTTGATTCTCAAAGCTTCACTTCCTTACAGTCTAAATGTGTTAAGGTTAGTATTGAAAATCCTGAATTTCCTATTAGCTGACAGTTGTTTTGAGTGTCATAAGTTCTTCAATTGTAGAAATGCCGCCCTTGTTTTGATGATATGTTAGTTCACATCTGCACCAGATCCACCTTGTTTGTTTATTCCCGTGACCCACTTGGTTTAGTCATTACTGCCACGTAGCACTGGATGACACTCATTGTAATACCTCCCTTCTTTGCTTTGAGGGATTTCTTGAAGTGTCTCTAACCATGATTTCTCCATTCTATGAGGGATTTTTAGAAACGAAGATTTATTTCATGGCTTCTGAAAACCTTAGGCTCTCTCTATGCAATATCGTAAATCTCTTCAACTTTCAATGTGAAGTTTAATCGGTTTTCTCTGGTTAGCTACTTTGTAGTGCTGATGTTCTGAATGAGTTTATGTTTCTACCCCTACATCTTATCTACCTGCTTTACTCGGGCTTGTGAATGGAAAAGCTACCGGAGTTGTTTGAAAAAAAATTCAGAGCCAAATCGACCATATCTGCACTAATAAAAAGTTCAGAAGGAGGATAGAAGAAGTAAGAACTGAAAGAAGTGCTGACATAGCTCCAGATCATCAGCACTGCACAACAGGACAGACAGCATCATAAAAGTTTAATAGGTCTTTCTTCGGAATACTGACAAACTACTCAATGAGTTCTAGATAGCCTTCAGCATAGATCCCAAGTCTTTCACAGTCTATTCGATGGAGAGAACATCAACATGTCATGAGGTTTTAGGCTACAAGAAGCACCAACAAAAGGAATGGATCTCTGTTGATACACTGGATAAGTTTCGAGAAAGTAGGAACAAGAATTTAGCGATAAATATCAGCTGAACAAGAGCAAAGAAAGCCAAGTCACAAGCTGAGTACACATAAGCAATGAAGCAAGTGAATAGGAGCTTTAGAGCCGACAAATGTAAACACGTGGAAGATCTATCAATGAAGGCCAACAAAATCTGCGAGACGAGGGAACGTAAGATAGCCGTATGATACAACGAAAAGGCTCACTGGAAACTATCCTAAATCAGAAAGATCAATAAAATGACAGGGAGGCCACCGACACTTAAGAACAGCAAAGAGGGGGGCAGTGTGAAGGACCTCCATACTGAACCCATCCCACATCGAAGCAGCATCTAAGGACCTCCCAATTGATGTTGGCCCACCAACAATTAAAGAGATCGGCGCGGCCATCAGACAAATCAGGAGCACTTAAGGCAGTCGGACCAGACAACATTCTAGTAGAGGCACTGAAAGCAGACGTGGATGCAACGGCAAGGATACTCTACACTGTCTTCAACAAGATTTGGGATGTGGAACAAGTACCATTAGTATGTAAGGAAGGACCTCCTGATCAAGATACCAAAGAAAGGCGATCCCAACGATTGTGAGATTTATCAGGAAGTCTTCAACAAAATGTTGTTAGACAGATTGAAGGAATCAGTAGATACCCAACTTCGAGATCAACAAGATGGATTTCGTAAGGATCGATCACGTACAGACCGAATTGCGACATTACGGATCATTGTGAAACAATCAACCGAATGCAACTTATCATTATGCGTCAGCTTCATAGACTACGAGGAAGCGCTTGATACTGTGGACAGGAAGGCATTATGGAAAATTCTTCGACACTGCTGTGCAATCAAAAAGATATTCAACATCATACTGAACTCTCATGTTCGATTAAACTGTAAAATCAGGCGTGGAGGCAAATGATAGTCTCATTCTGCCAAGGTTGCCCACTCTCGCCCTTTCTCTTCCTCCCGGTGGTCGACTGGGTTATGAAGACGTCAACATCCATGGGAAGCACGGAATACAGTGAACAGCCAGGATACAACACAAAATGCACCAACCAGTTAACGCTTGACAGTGAAACTTTGGAAGGTGTAAAAACCTTTACATATGTAGGCAGCACCATTGATGAGCAAGGTGAATCCGATGCAAGAATTGACGGAGCAAGGGCAGTTTTCTTTTAAATGAAAAACATCTGGAACTCAAAATAACTATCTACAAACACCAAAGTCAGAATTTTCAATACAAATATCAAGACAGTTCTACTGCATGAGGCGGGGACTTGGAGAACTACAGTTGCCTACACAAATTTCTTAAGATTCGTTGGCCAAACACTACTAGCAGCAACCTACTGTGGGAAAGAAGAAACCAGATTCCAATGGAAGAAGAAATCAGGAAGAATGCTGGAGATGGACAGGATTTATATGGAGGAAAGCATCCAACTGAGTCACAAGACAAGCCTTCACCCGGAATGAAAAACGATTGGATGGGACTAAAAAGGAAGGCCCAGAACAGATTAGATTGGAGAATGCTGGTCGGCGGCCTATGCTCCATCGGGGGTAACAGTCACAGTAAGTCAGATATCATTCAATAATATAATTTGTCTAAAAAGCAAACTACGTTTGTCTATTGATCGGTTTAAGTAGTTATTTAGATGGATAGTAATCTTCGCGCGATTTATCTTTCTAATAGGTTCGCTCAAATATTCAGAAACTAGGTTTGTATTATAGAATAATCTTCTGTTTCAAATAAAATATCATGTGTGATAATGTAGTTGAACTAATTATCTCAAAGACGTTAGTCAAATAATCTACACTTTAATCCAAAAGACGAAAAATTTGCTACGAGTATTATACCAACCCTAATGTGAACAAAGGTATTACATAAAATGCTACTACTTTAAATAACTGACTTTCACTGTTCTTCTATTAACACGACATTAAACTTATTCAATGTTTAAATGAAGCTTTGAATGTTTGTAGATTTAGAATATTTTCAAATTATATGAAGTTCTTTAAGATTATTCGTCTACATAAATCGGTAAACCACTGAGAATTGGAGAGGGTAAAATGGCTTTTAGTCTCAGTTTACTATTTTCACCAGTTAGCAACCATAAAGTGGCCTGATATTCGGTTAAACAGTGTTACATACTTAAAATTGATCGGTCATCATCTTCTCAATAGACTTTCGAGAATCATCTATACGATCAAAAATTAGCGGGTTTATTATTATGGGTGATTTATACAGTATGCAATTGAAAGATTATTTTTATCCAGTACGATTATTTGGTGAAATTCACGAAGCATTCAAATATGAATCTGTAAGTCATTTATTATGTGGTGCAGTTTTGCATTTCATTTCACCTAATTAATAAGTGGTTTCAACAGTAGTTCTTAAATCCTTGTGTACATTCTTTTCCATTTTAGTGTAACAACAGCATTTTCAGTTTTAGAAATACATTTCGGACAAAGTCCATCCTATTTTCCTAATATCCTGACTTTTAGACAATCGTTAGAGGTTAACCAACACTATCTTCTTCTCCTTCCCTGGGTCACACTAAATATCACGAGATCTCTTTCAAATGAGTCATATTTGTCTGACAAAGGTCACTAAAATAATGATGGTTTTCAGTTCACCGAAATATGTGAGATATAAGATGTGTGATATAAGATTAATAAATCTTGTAAATAAATAAATAAACAGTATA